ACCTAAGGGGGCACCACCCCCAGAAAAGAAAAATATTTACCAAAGTAAGTCACAGTCCACTAAAGTTCAAGGGCATTCTACTCATCTAGCTGGGGAACAATCACAATGCAAGATAAGATGCTTTGTGGCCCTTTTGATAGGGTATATGATATATAATCCACTGTAGGGACTTCATTTTATCAGGGAAATAGGGAAGAACTAATTTGTATCAAAATATATCAGAATATTAGATGACTCATTGACATATTTGCACAGGCTTTGCGTGTCCATGTGGTAAATAGTATCAATATATATGCTGATTTGGAATCCTGTTTCTGTAATCGAATTGTAGAATTTTAGAATTTGTGCATATTTTATCTACACTTGGTGTGAATGTACTTAATGAACTCATAAAATAAGAATATATAATCTAAATGTTTGGATTAATTTAGCATCTGCCTTATTTCATGTTACTATAAAGTCCTCTTTTTGCTGTATAACTTTAAATAAAATGCCATTTTCACGGCAAAATTTGGATTGAGAGATAACCAGAAATCGGTTATCTACAGTTGACTTGAGAGGCTCAGGTTAAACATGGAATGAAATGATAATTCTATCAGCATCATGTCTACAGAGAGACCAAAACTAGGAACAGAGAGGTGGATAATATTCATACTGAGACGTAGACTGATAGTCAAGCAAGTTGAATCCAAACTTTCATTCTGAAATTTAAATATCGAGCTGTGTACCCTCAGCACTTGCTTGGAGTGATGATACAATGACTTCTATTCGACCTAGTCTGGTTTGTCAGATCAAATCTCCGTGCCTCTCAATTAACACAACTATTTCCTCGTCTCGATATTACATTTACTCAATACTTTAAGTGTGTGTATTTTATTTGTTCCTTTTTTGTATAGATTCATCTTATATCTATATATTTATGTTATATGGAGACGAGTTTGGCTGCCAAAATCTAAAGAATAAAACTATCGATTGGTAACAATCATGCATTTTATTTCTTTTTAATTTCCATTCAGTTTCCGTTATTTCCATTTATAACCTGGTTATAAATTGATAATCCTCTCCCGGGTAACTTGCCGTCAAAATCACCTGCCGGACATTGTAGGTATGTTTATAGTTACTCTGACACCCCACACCGCTACATTCGCTACAATTATTTCAATATTTTCCTTCTTGATCACATAAGATACCGTTCGATTATAGGCCTACATACATTCCAGGATCGAGATATTATTTCTGTCTTATGACAACGTAAATTTCAATTTTGTTAATTATTTATTCTTTTACCCCACATAAGCAAATTTTGTAGTTCTCCGACCTATCAATCTCTACGATTTTTTGGAAAAAAATTCAATTTCATCTTTAATGCGCTGTAGAGGTAACAAGATATTATTTATGGAGTTAGGTTATCTTAAAGTTAATTATTTCTTAAAGATAAATTCTTAAATTAAATCTTCCTTTAAATTTCTACAGATAACACTAAAATTTTCTCTATAGTTTGCCAAATATTTGATTCAATTTTCTTCTACCCCGCTGATCAACCCATTGAAAGAAACATTAAATCATTCAAAAGCAGGGCGTCATTAAAATATTGAATAATTATAATGAGATATGTGTGGTTATCGCAATTAACTTCATTGATTTGAATTAAAAATTAGGTTTCTGGGCACCCTGGCAAATTGACCGCTTTTTTCTAAGACATCACCAGATACAAAAAATCAACAAATTATATTATCAGTTAAAAGCAATTTTGAAGATTTAAACAACGCAACAAAAACTAAACCAGATTTTTTGTTACCTCTGACAACGTTGATTGATAAATTAGGAGACAAAGAAATAACACCCTTCCCAATTAGCTCATGGCGCCTTAATTGTGTTATAATCCAGAACCTATAAATCTATGCATGGGAATATCATTTTGTTGAGTGTCATTATGGCTTCGTTCAGTAATAAATAGATCACTTGTTTTTGAAGCACATTTCCTTCATACACATCATCTTGAATTCAACACGTGTTGTGCACTACTTTGGATTTATTTACCAAAATCTGGACTAAAGCCTACAGCATCATGCCTAAAATGTCAATAGATTCAAAGAAAGGTAAGTATGTTATTCTGAATTGAAATTGCTAGCTCATTTGTTGTTACTGATGATTGAATGACTCAAGAATGAAGCCTTCTTATCAATATTTATGCTGTATGCTTGGACAAAAGCACTCCATTGTTTTTGCATCAATGTCAAGAGCAAACTGAAGTTTTGACGTATACAGATTTCTCCATGCGTAAATCTGTACTACAGCACTCGACTTAAACCCAAAAAGATGTGTCTAGGTTCGAATATGGTTAATTGAAGCCAAAATTCAACTTATTTATTTCAGGGGTTCCCAGATTTGCATTGGTGGCATTCAAAGACTTATTAGAAAGTCATGTTTACGCCACAAATGACATATCCGGACCGAAATCTATGGGCACTGGAGCAACAGTCAAAACCACCATTCATGGCGATATTTTCAAGGGAACTATAGTTTCAATGGCTGGTAAGTACCTTCTAATAATGACGTAAATTTTGGTTGAATATTGTTGAAGATATTATGTTATTATGTTCGTGAGATGAAAAAAATGTTTTTTTCAGCACTTTTACGCTTTTTGATCAGTTGATTTAATGGCCTACTAGAATCAATACATGTACCGGTTTTATTTTATTTTACTAAGACTTTCTCCAATTGTTTTATAGATAATGAAAATTACTTGAAACAGCAAAGTCAGTCATTAAATGTTACTGGATTTTTTGGTGTTCCCAAAAGTAAAAAGTCATTGGGGAGAGGTGAGTTTTAAATCATAATATTAGTATTGATATCTTTTGTTTCCAACCCTTCGATAATTCACAACACTGGGGTCTCTTTCTTAGGACTGTCTATTGTCAATTATCCATGTCGCTGCTTAAGTTGCTTATCGCCAGTTGTGTATGGTTGTAAAAAGGATACCGTTTATGCTTATAAGTTTCGAACAATGTGTGTTGTGCGTTGCATTCGGAGCTATTGGCCATTTCCATTATTCGCAACCATGTAACTAATAATTGCAATGGTATGAGGGCATTATAGAAAAACAATATATATTTTTGTTCCAGGAAAGAATCTTCCCAAGAAGACCAATATACCACCGACAAATGAAACGTCACAGCAATTGACTAGTACGCCTTCCTCATCAAAATATCGTCGCTTGTCTGTAAGAAATCTACCGTCTCCGATAAATCACACCAAGACTACTATAAGTGAATTTTGTTTAAAGTCGCTGAAATCTCTCGCGACAACATTCGCTTCGAAACTATCTTCTGCACAAAATGATTCTGCTGATGACGTTGATTTTATTACCATTTCACTGGTTGAAGCATCTTTTGACAGTTCAAGCTACGCTAAACAACTCGAGTATCGAGAAAGCTTTAGAAACCAACCCCGTTGTATCAAAGATGTTCCAGATTACAAAGTAGATTTGTCAATGAACTTTTCCAGTTTTTCATCTACTATTGATTCCTTACAAAGTCACATTCATCCACTTATCAGTGTAACAACCAACATACCAAACAACCAGTCACCAGTAGAAATCCCATCACCCATGAATGTGGCAACACAACATATGGCAGGAACTCTGAATGGGGCCTTTACTTCTGTTTCCTCCTTAATGGATACTGTAGCATTAACTAGAGATGTTTCGAAGTTAAGTCGCCAAACCCGTATTCCAGTTTTTACTAGCTCAACAACCAAGCCCGGTGTAGTACTTGATAGAGATAATAACACTATCTCATCTGAATTACATTCTACCAGGAATGTAGATACTGACGTATATCTAAATGCGTTCTTTCCACCATCACCTTGTTCTTTACCCTCTGTTCAGGATGACACCAGATCAGACTTTGATGGCTCTTTTAATATTGGTGGACGAATGGAAGCAACTGTCATTCTAGATTGTTTGTCTGAAGACGAGTTAACATCTATTGAACAGTCATCTGTTTCTAAAGAAATAGAGTTCCCATCTAAACCACCAACATCAGATAATAAATCACCAGTATTCAACATGTCAGTGACCCCAGAATCAAGTGGATGTGCGTGTAATACAAGAATGTATAATTTTAATTCAGAAGGTGATGTCCACATGGTGACCATTCAAGACAGCAAAACTGTAGCATTAACGATAATGGACAGGTCCGAACTCCAGTATCATTCTTTTATGAACTCATCGGACAAGGAAAACATTTCACCCAAGACACAGTTTTTTGATGAACAAATTAAATGTTATCAGGACAGATTTCTACAAATCACTCCAACAGAGTTGTTTTACGGTCTGATGTTGCGATCTGATTATCCACCTAGAATGGATGATGTTTCCTTCTTTACAGAAACTATTTTATTACATCTTACATCTGTGTCCTCGAGACCTGAGGTGTTTGCAAGAAATCTACTGTATCGAATGTTTACCTTAGCAGAATTACAGAACTCAAGTGTGTATGGTAGAGGATTTACAAATGAACAACGAAACACTGCTCTTAACGTTGATAAAATTCGATTGATTCGAGAACTGACCTTTGTTCTGTACAGTAACGTGAGATTTAGCTGGAGAAATTGTGTTTTATGGATGGACAAATCTATTAAATATGTAAATAAATTATTGTAAAACTACCCCTGGAAATATGAAGCCAGTTAATTGGAATTTTTGATTAATCGAGAAATCTTAAATTTTAGAACTGCAACAAAACTACTAATACCTAATTTTTGTCGCAGTATGAATAACGTATGAGCAAGTATAATGAATACCTTTATACAATACCATTGTATTAATATCAATGAAATTAATTATAGTGCTCTATAACATCATTAATTTAATGTTACATCGTTGAAACTTTTGCTTAATTTGGTTATTGAAATAGAAATTCCTATGTACTATTGTTGTATGATGGCTTAAATATATGTGTTATTGAATCAAACTTATTCTATATTGGTCACCCTTTAATATGCTACATACAGCAACGCGCGTTCATAGCTTATGCAACCAATGTACATGTTTTTAGACTAGATGTTTCGTGTTGGTGATGTTTGTTTATTCGCTGTGTCTAATTGGTTCAGAACTGGCAATTTGTTGAGCAAAGGAAGCACTTGGAAGGTGTCTTTGCTCCTTGCAACGTCAAAAATAGCAGCATACGTGAACCTATTTGAGATTTGGTTCACATTCGCCAATTAGTAAATGTTATCAGTTGCACACTATAGGCACCATCTGAGAACGGCCACTTGCCACTAAAACATTCCGATCATTTAATGCTATCTAGTATTGCGAGCCAAACCCAAAACAACATCGATATACCTCACATTTTTCTTATATTTCGTACACAAACAAATTGAACATAAATATCACTATCAATTTCTAAAATTACGTTTTATTTAACTAACCGAATTTTCTGAGAGACATTCGCCGCTATTTTTAATCAGAAAGAATGTCAAGTTACATTCGAACTCATTGCCGTACACCTAACCTAAAAAGACCAAACGATAATTAGGTTAAAATCAAAAGTAAATGAACTCTAAGTACAGATTGACCCTTACCAGACTCAGTTACTGTTTATTCTAAAATATGTTTGACAATTATAGTTTATTGTGTTTAACTGATAGAACGAAGTTAAGCAGACTCCAAAACTTATCGACAAACGATAAAGAAAACTCAATGAACTGAACTGGTTGCCCTTCGAACTTAACCACTCTTATATCTAAGAAAAACAGTTCATTTATTTTCAAGTGCCAAATTTCTAAATTCAGACACAGTTCTGGCCTTGTATATCGATGTAATGGTTTTGATATAACATACTTAGCAATCACTCAGTGCCAAATTTCTTTTTACTTTAGTTCGATAAAGTTAAGAGTTGACTGGTTCAATTTAAATGTGTAGACCTATTAAACAGATAAAAACTTAGCTAATTTAAGAACAACCTTTTGTTTTGTTTCCAAGAATGCATATCAAGAAACTTATATGTTATCAAAAATTTTAAAGATTCCGTTTCAAATGGGTTATAATAATATTGATGTGTACTTTTCTAAAGATATAATTTCACCTTTTATTTTGTATAATCGCACACAGAAATCAGTGCTCTTTAAGTATCATAGAGGGGTTGTTTCCCCTATACCAATTCTCGAATCAGATAATGCACGTTATTTTATTGAAACACATGCTGCGTTCACACTGAAAGCGACATCAAACCGATTTCCGGAAAGCGCATTCAGTTTTGTAGAGTCACAATACACTCTGAAGTGATTTGATACGGTACAAAACGCATCACACTGACAACAGCTATAACCCGACATAATCCAATGCGCCCTCAACGATGTATCTCTTAAACTACTCAACAAACACCGAAGCAAAATAGTAAAAAAAAAAGAAGTACAAACGATCCGACCCGAAATCGTGATTTGCTCGAAGACAATCTGCATCCCAGAAAAAGATATTTCTGAAAAAATCTGAAGATCATTTTGTACCATTCCAATTTTCAATCCGGAATTTACAAGCTGTGGTTCCTGCAATTCCACCAAAAGTAAGCGTTTTAGGACGTCATTAATAGCGAAGTCCTTTAGTGATAGAGCAAATTTTACGATTAATGACGTTATCAATCACTTAGTAGAATTGCAAGAACCACAGATGCCTGATTGAATAATTGGAATGGAGCAAATTGATGCTATCAGTGTCCCCTATACATATGAAATTTAGAAAACCTCTTTACAATCCCTTTAAGATTACACCCCAAAAAGGAGCACATTATACGGAAACTCGTTTCCAATAGTGAACACGTGTCATTTGACTTGATGATCCAAATGATTTTCAAATTGGATTTGATGTTGAATGCTTTATTCATGACATATAATATATAATACTAAAGGTTTCGAGATCACAGCTTTTCTTCTTCAGTGCAACCCGAGTGGATTTCAATGTCTCCAATGTCCGTGATTTGAACTTCATTCATCTTGAATATCTATTGCAGGCTGATCGGTTAAAGTGGGATTATAATGATTTACAAATAGTCATTGTAACTCTACTCCATTCATTGTATGGACGGATTGACCCTAGTGTTAAGGAATTCATCAATGCTATTAGTTGATTTCATTCATCTTGTCGAATTTGAAAAGGTTAATCGCTTATGATAATATTGACACTAGACTCGTGTCACAATAACTTGTGAAACCACAAAAACTGGACAGAATATATTTCTTTCTCGATAGTTGACTATGGTACACAAATCCTTACATTCATTACCCTAGAACAATTCAATTCTTGGCGTTCTTGAGACTTTTTTGTCGAGATCTTACTCTAGAGTTCGAAGTCCGTTTTCGTATTAAATATCATGTTGATGATTCGTGTCCTAAGTAGAGTTTATCTTAAATTTGTAGAATTAAACTAAAGCCGGGCGTCCACTTGAGAATTTTTTCTGCGAGTCTTTGCGAGTCACTCGCGAGCGAACTGTCAGTGCTCCTTCCATTTGAGAGTAATTGAGAGTAAATTTTATTGCGAGTAACTATCAGAGAGTTTGTACTATCAACTAACTCGAGAAACTTTCAAGTGTCCTTCTACCTGAGAGACAAATTACATTCACGAGCTGCTCGTGGGAAGGGGGTGCGAGTTGCACGACATCTTGCCAGTTTGATTTACAATTTCCGATTGGAAAATGTTGTTTTCCAAGAAAAAACGAATTGCTGTGGCTATAATTATAATCGATGGAAACAGAGAGAAAAAAGTGCACAATGTCTTTTTGTACCGATTCGGCCAAGTTCTTCCATGCATCGTTCTTTTTCTGCCTCTCTCGAAACTCAGTCGATTGAACATCATATTATGTGATGAGGCGCTCAATCTCTTCCCTTGTCCATTCCGCATGTTTCGATATATTTCAGACTCTGGGTGTTGTGAAAAATATGATAGGCCTGTTAATAAAAAGCTGACAGTTCTTAATATTATTCTGACCTGTATATTTTCTTCTCATTTATTTTAATTTTGATCACCGGTCACTTTTATAATATTCATTAAGCTTCCCCATGGAATAATTAGGATACTGTAATACCCTCAGATATAGTTTCCGCGAATTTGCAATTGTTCAAAACATCCTTTGTCCTATTAACGATTGAAAATATGTAAATCAATTTTGATATTAATATAATTTTCACACAATATAACACTTTCTCTATATAAATCAACATCAGAGTATATCATATTCAAATCATTAAAATAATTTATGAAGCGGAAGAAGGGAATTGATCATATTCGACAGTAAGTGAATTTATTATAATAGTTTTTTCCTCTCTGTGATACTCAAATTGTTATTATATAGTAATTAAAGGATTAAGTCAACCTATTATTACACCAATCATCAACTTATAGTATTATAAATTCATCTATAATCTCATCTGACATTTTATACTAATCCTTTAATGGTTCTGAATGTGTCCATGTAAAATCATCATTAATTTCACAAATAATTAGATTCTTCAGTTGAACTTGTTGAACCCTTTGTCAGGACATTCACATTAACCCTCATGCGCAGCGATTTCGACTTCAGGATTCAACATCTAATGATTTTTACATTGTTTACTTCATGCTCCTCAATTATTGTTCTGACCAGTCTAAAGAGAATAATTACCACAATAATTTATTTTGGTATTAAAAATTTCTCAGGCCTGAGAGATCTAAGTCATATAAAGTTAGATCCTATATATATTAACACCTGTTAGGTATGCTTAAAGAATGATAATAATGTGCACATATCTAAGGAGAGCAAAAAGTTAAGATTATGCATATTGACCTAAGGCAACAAGAGCTTCTAATCCTGACTACTTTATGCACGATTCTTTATAGAATACCCGTTTCAATTACTTAAAGTAAATAAAAGCGAATCTTGACTTTCTACAAATATGTGAGTTATAATTAAAATGATCGCATTAGTAATATGATATGTATGGAATTTAGAGATAGAAGCTGTCCTATTGTTGTCCGTGCCTTTGTATTTTAAATGAAGAAGTGCAAAGCTGTAGTCTGGTAATCGGATGAACTGAATCATATTTCAAATTATAAAGCTCATCATTTTTGTTTCAATATGATGATTTTGTAGGCTTTTCTTTACGTAATATCTTACACTGAGAGTAACGCGTGTTACAATCTACATCGTCTCTTTTAAGCATTATAAAATCACTGGCTTACTAGCACTGCATGCGATTATTGACTTAAGCAAGGCGTTTGATTGCATCTGTCATGATGGCATTGAGTTTAGATTGGGAACAATGATAAAATAAACCAATTATAAACCAAATAGTCACATATTTGTAGGACATACCGTTCCGTATTGTTTGTTGCCCGAGAATTTGAGCGTTACAATGTCCACAGTCAACTGTTGTTAGTCTTTGAAAGGGGCTAATAAGACAAATAATTTTCTCTTTGAGAGCGCTAATTTTACAGGATCGGGTGCAATGTCGTAGTGTATACGTCTTTATGAGACAATCTAATTACTCTCAAGAACCTCACCACTGGAACAAAATATATGCAAATTTAGTTTCTGTAGTCTGATATATCTTTAATCAAAACGTCTATTTATATGTGACGTAATTTAATTTAAAAACTTGAGATATAATGGTTGTAATATAATGATATTG